TGGTTTTTTGTGATTTCATTTTCAACGATTATCTTTTACAATTTGCTATTTCACTTCTCTTATTTTATTTAACTTTTCTTATTTGTCCAATAATTTTGTGTGATAGCTTTATTGTCTTACTTATTTATCAATCATTTATACAATATTTTCTTTTATTATTATTTACAATCCTTACTTTCTCCCTTTTCCATTACTCCCTTTCATTTCTTTTCTCCAATTAAACACCTGTCTAATTTATCTATTTTAAGAATGTACATTCGATATTTGATAGTTTAGTCGTACAACGTGTAATCCAATCGTATAGCCAATTATAATACCTTTGATACATTTATTAATACACTTTCACAAAAAAGATATGCCGCACGTGTGATTCCAATTTTCAATTTCCGCAATGGACAACTGATGAGCCAATGGTCACGCGATAAGCCGAACTGCATATAAATGTGTCAAAGATATCATAGTACTGTAAAATGAACCTACCAGTATTGTATGTCTTGATTGCGGTAAGAAAAAAAAAAAGTTATTTAAGATGGTAAAATGAAATTAATAACCTAATTGTTATTATTTTTGCTTCCTTTTTCTAACCTTACTTATATTACAGATTAAATAAACAAAATGGCTCTAAAAAAAAGTCAATAATACCAAGGAATAACTTTCCATTTTACTTTAGATAAATAATACTTACATTTTTCAAAATCTGTTTGTGATTTCAATATCAAAAAGCCAGAATTTATTTAATTCACAAATTTTTTTTTTTTTATAATAGAAGAAGGGCAATTATTATGATGGAGAAAAAGTACTGCTGCAAATTTTGAAATGATTTAAAAAATTTATGCTTGCATTTCAAGAATGATTTAATCACTTATTGATATGCAAAATGAAATGGGAATAAAACTTACAACAACGAATTAATAAAAACAATGGATGGATAAAATTGTGTTTCATAAATGATTCGTATCATTTCTTTTATCATAGTTTAACTTCACTACCAAAATATCCAAAAAAAAAAAATCGATAACTGAAGAAAATATTTATATTCTACTATAATCTAAAAATGTTATCCATAAAGAAATCAAATACTCTTTGAAGATTCCGGTCATTTGACAGCATCTCCATGTAATATCCGATGTAATGTTTCAATGTTCATACTCATACATACTTCATATATTTTCTTTTCTATTGCAATTTAATAACATTTCATTATTAAAATACAATTTCAGTAAAATAAATAAATTAGCATAAAAACACATAACAATCATTTGTTATCCTCAGCACATTTGAACAAAATTGAAGAAGAAAAAGGCATTTATAAAATATAATTTTAATGAAATAAAATAGAAATAAGCACTATTTTTCCAGTTATTTTTTAATTGAAATTATATCAGTTGCAAATAATTATTCATTATATCAGTTAAAAGTAGTAATGTAAAAAAAAAAAGATTAAATTTTTACACAACGGACTATAATTTTTTTTTGCCCTAATTTTGTTTTTTCTTTTTCATTGGATAATTTATTATATCAATGATATGTATAAATCCCTAAAAATTGTATTATCATATACAAATATATTTCATTAGGTCAAAAGGTTAGGCGGTAATTATCAAAGTTTAACTTATTTATTTAGAAATATTCTGTGATGCTTAGCAATGATAGTGCAACAAATGGATGTACTTCACGTGACCTCTTTTCATCGTTGAAACTATTTGCTCATACAGTATGAAATGGCTTCTGTGATACGAAAAATGTGAATCAAATGATGATCACATCAAAAGTCGGCACGATTAATACGGAAAAGTAAGTGTTGTGGCACGCAATGATGATACTTGTTGAGCGACATCGAACCACTTAAACGAGTTCCTCAAGTGTTTGACCTTTTCTGTGCGTGAAAGGTCATAATTGATAAAATGAATAAACAACAGTAGTCGAAAAGAAAAATACTTCCCTATCCATTTTATTCCAAAAACAATCATTTCAACCATTCCTACAAATTTAGCATATTCCTAAAGTCAACTTCATCATTCACTTATTTTTTATTAAAACCCTGGGAAAAAAAAATTATCTAAAATAAGCTATATAAAATTAGATGATTTCATTGTGAATATTAAATCAGTTTTA